ATCCTCATTTTCAAGGAACTCTGCATAAGATTACTGCATTTAACTATTTTGGGGAAGCACTGTCTGTTCTATGTTGGGGTTGGGGGGATGTTCTCATTTGTCTCCATCTCTGTGGCAGTGCAGTGATGGGGCGTGGGTACCCTGTTGGAAGATTTCACAGAGTGGCTGGGTCTGGGAGGTTAATTTAGAAAATGCTATACAAGAAACTAGTGAGACAGATGGGTTGAAGTGGAGGTAGAAATCATGCATTGGAATGTTCTATCACACTATTTTCTTATCCACTTTTTTCCCCCTTTATGTATGTGATAGTAGTTTGGTCTTCCAGGGCCTTTCATTGTGAACGGGATTACTGTTTTGGCTTCAGAAGCATCATAAAAGCTGACGATTTTTCACGGACCTAGACTGCACAGCTAGGTGGCACAGCCGATAGAGTACTGTGCCCAGAGTCAGGAAGACTGGAATTCAAATCTGGCCTCAAACACTTACTAGTTGTGTGACCATGAGCAAGGCACTTAACACTCTTTGCCTCAGTTTACTCATCTGTAAAAATGATCTGAAGAAGGAAATGGTGAACCACTCCAGTATCTTTGCCAAGAAAATTCCAAATGGGGTCACAAAGAGTCAGTCACAACTGAAAGGACTAAAACCAACTATAGATAACCACATAAAGAACAGGTGACAAACAGAAGGGGCAGAAGACTTCTTTCTTGAAATCATATCACTTCTGATATCAATCAATGAACAATAGATTGATGTTTCCCAACCCAGTCGTTTCTTACCAATACACCAGGTACAAAGCAGGGATCTACTTATCCATCTAGATAAGCCTTTGAGAGGCTCTGCATGATATATAGCCTTGGAAATGAAGAGACAGTCACAAACCATGACAGACCCTATAACTGATCAATTAGTGTACTGTCCTTCAATTACATGGATGTTATTACTAACCCATCTTTAGTAGGGAACATAACTTGAATTGTTTTTCTAGTAGGTGGTGATGGATGTCACCCAATTCAATCCATCAGTATGTAAACTCCATATACTGATGCAGATCCCAACCATTTCAGTAGGTAGGCTCATGGGCTCATGGAATAAACTTGTGAGCAATCAATTAAATGACTTTTTTGGACACCTAATCAATGTCCCACACTCTTCTTGTTAACATGGAGATAGAAACCTGACCTTGAACGTATCATAATGCAGTGAGAGTTACAAGAATAATGTGCTTGAAACATTAACAAGCAATGCGATATGTAAAAATAATAAAGATAAGTATAACATAGAATATGAATAACAGGCATATTCAATTATATTTGCACATGTATTATATATTTATGCATGCATATAATATAACTATATATAGTTATGCATATAACTATGCATATATGCTCTTATTGTATATTTGTATATATATCCCGTTCACAATGAAAGGCCCTGGAAGACCAAACTACTATCACATGCATAAAGGGAAATATATATTGTATATATGTATATATTCTATATATGTATATATTGTATATAGTATGTATATACTACACATGCACATATAGGAAGAGTATGTATGTATATATGTCATTATATATATATATCTGTGTATATATGTGTATGAATACAATACATACACATCCATTTGTATGTGTATATACACATCCAGATATACATATCCACACACACATATATACATATATACACACATGTATACCCTATCCCCATATACATGTGTATATATATATATATATATATGTATACACACCCATCCCCACCCACCCCCACCCCCATATTTTATGAATTGTTTGGCCCAGGTGATAAGTGCTATAGGACTTCAGAAACATGGTAAAGTGAAGTCTTCATGGGAGAGCTAGGATCTGAATTGGTCCACGAAGGATGGGTTAGATTGGGCTAGGTGGAGAGAAGAAGGAACTACAAATAAGGGAGATAGCATAAGCAGGGTGACAGGAGGTACAACGGTGACATGTTAATGGGCTAAGAAGACTGTCTTGACTAAGGCACAAAACCCACTTAGCATCTATCAAGGATATATCTAACCTACCCGTTTGACTAGAAAAAAAAAAAGGAGTCCTGGACCTGAAGTCAGTAAAATTTGAGTTCAAATTAGACCTCAGACACGAAGTAATAGCTGTGTGACTCTGGACAAGTCACTTAACCTCTGTATACCTTAGTTTCCTCAAATGTCAAATGGGCATAACAATAGTACCTATCTCCCAGGGTTATTATTGTGGGGATCAAGTAGATAATACTTGTAAAGTACTTAGCGGAGTACCTGACACATAGTGGGTACTTATTTCTTTCCTTTCTTACTTGATGGTTTATTTTAATTAGCCTTGGAATCACCGGTTTTAATGATGCTTTAATCACCTAATTTGCAGCTAGAAGGTACCTTAGAGACGACTGAGTCCAACTTCCTCATTTTACAGAAGAGGAAACTGGGGCACACGGTATTGAAGTGACTTGACCAGGGTCATACTGCTAAGGAATGTCTAAGGCAAGATTTGAAGCCCGGTCTTCCTGACTCCCAGTCTACTGCCCTATTCATGAATCAAAGATTCAAGGCTAGAAGATACCTCAGAAGCCCCTTGATCCATCCCCTCCCCCCATTTCATGGTTAAGGAAGTTAAGTCCAGTAGAGGTGAAATCACTTGTCTAAGGTCAGTGTGAACCCTAGTCTTTCAATTCCAAATCCATGACTCTTTTCTTTTGTATGATAATGTCTCCCTTGAAGCCTTTTCTGCTTAGTAGCATTGGCCAGAGTATGTATATTAGGATGGCATAGCCTCCAAGAGCCCAGGGTCACCTCCGAACCATTTGAGTAAATCAGAGTAAGATTCTAGTAGAGGGTTTATATACAAAGAACAAATAAACATGCCTACCTATATGCAATAGCTCAAGTAAAGCAAATAACATCTTTCTCAATAATCACTATATCAAGTCAAATCAATAAGCACTTATTAAATACCTACTATGTGTCAGACAAACATTTATGAAGCGCCTACTATGTGATTGCCACCATTATGTAATAGGAATATGAAGACAAAAAAAAAAAAACCCAAACAAACCTTGTCCCTGCCTCAAGGCATTTTTAGTGTATTGGAATATGTTAACATTTCTAATTTTAACCTAATGGCCTTTTGAAATGATGGCTGCTATTTCCATTGGAGGCTATTTGTGCATCAACGTTATGCTTATTGAGCCTGCCAAAGTGCAAAACTGGTAATTTTTTCACTCCTTGGCTCCCAGGGATAATTGCCCAAAGTAGGTTTTTGGTATGTTACCTTCACCTGAAGTCATCTCCTTTCTATATGAGACTTTGTGATTCTGAATCAAATTAGGAACGAATGGAATACTGGGGTACAGATGTACTGATATTAGTGAACTACAGTGGCCTTAGAGTCAGTTATAGATACTTTCAATCTCATCTAACAGAGTCTAGGCATGGTTTCTTCTTAGTAGTCCTTTTCCTTCTTTTTCCATTACAGGGCCTTAATTTAGGGGCTGAATATCTTTGAAAAACTACTAAATGCTCCACTCCCCCCAAATATCATTGCCAACTACCCAATGCCTAATACAGCGCCTGGCATATAACAGGTGCTTAATAAGTACCGATTAATTGAGTGACTGACATGGTCATTTAACTTGCACAAACTTGTTAAGGAATATTAATGATAAACACAAGGGAGGAACTTTGACTATTACATTTATCATACTGTTCCAAAAGATAGGATTTCATGAGAAAATGGTATATTTTAAACTTTTTCTATGCATGTGTGTATGTATGAATCCCAAGTTCCATGGATAATAATGCAATTTCTTTGTGCTGCTATTTTTCAAAAGACAACTTTTCCAGCATCTTGGAAGGTCTGGAGTCATCACTCTGGTGCCTTGGTGTGTAAGTGGCACTGGGGTCAATGGTCCTGCCAAATTTCGTAGATGAAGCTCTTGATTTTCTAAGTGAAAAATCTGTCCACTAATCTATTCCCCATTATTCTTGGAATCATGCTGATGAATGGTAGTAAGATAAATTTAAAGCTTCAAACATATTTTGAATATTACAGACCATTTTCCCTAGCAAAGTCAGAGAAGTGTTCACTTGAAAATATGAGGCTTAGATGGATCTCCTAAAATCTTTTGGAGGATGTATCATTTTATCTCAAACTTTTTCCTTCTGTCCAATCTTGCAATCTGTTCTTTCTACAAAATAGCTTTAGTTATGTCAACTGTTTATTTCAAAGTAATGAACCGATATCTTCTTGGCTTTTACCCCAAATATTTCTCTATGAATGATTTCACAATTTCTTTCCAGTTAATAAACAACAACAATGATGACTCATGTTTATATTGAGCACTTTAAAGCTTATAGTGCATTTGCTTCTGAATAACTGTGAGGTATAAAAACCAGTAATAGATTGTGTAATAGATTGGTCATGATGATAATTTTATATTTCTACTCTTGGTTTTTAGGAATAATCCTCTAAAATCCAAAAATGAACACTCTTTCCTCCATGTTCTTAGCTACCAAAAATTATGATGATTTTAGTTTTTGCCTTGTGTGTGATTTCCTCTTCAACTGATGGAAATCAGCAGTGAGAATTTCTACTTTAACTAGGGGAAATAAGAGCCATGATTTGTCAATGCTAGGAAGAGGATAGCTAACGATGGGCAGTCTCCCTGGAGAATTCAATGTTTATTCTGAGGGAGGTGGGGGCAGGGAGAGCATACATCTTTGGATACACCATTTTATTTGTGGGTGTCAAACGAAAATGATGATTTATTATCTGATTTTATTTAAAGTGTCAATGAGCCATATTAAAAAAAAACACAAGATGTGTAAGAAAATGCAAGGATTATTCTCCACATGAAGGCATTTTCAAAAGTCACTTTGGTTGCCTCTAATGGCAGCCTCCATCAAACATTAAGGTCCACTTACCTTACCTTTAATAGTCATCAAGTCCATAGACATCCCAGGGGGAACAAGAAGACCTTACCTGCTGATGTGTGCTTGAATTTTTCACTTTTCTTCTTCCTCCATTTCCATGGCTTGAAAATCCTTCCCAGGTTGGCAAATTTACTCCTCCTCCGGATAGGCGGGGTGTGGGTACCAGGGACCAGGGAGTCCGAGCGCATCGCCGCCAGTCTCTCCACTTCCTCAGCTTGTGTTTCCCCAGGAGAAGAGAAAGGAAATCAAGAGAAAAAGAAGCGTTAAAAATTAAAGCCCAGATGGCCACTCTTTTCCATGGTTACAGATAACAGAAACCACATGACAAGAGCCTTTTTTTTTTTGCCTTTTGGAATGGGACCTACACCTCATGGTGCTGTAACCTTCAGCTTACCCTTCAGCTAAGCATTGTAAAGCTCAAAACTGAAAGAGGTTTTGACCACTCTAGCTCAGTTTCATAGAAAGAGAAGACTTTCTTTGCCAAGTCATAGGTTTCCCTGGGATGGTGTGAGTGTGTGTGTGTGTGTGTGTGTGTGTGTGTGTGTGTGTGTGTGTGTGGGGGGGGGAGTTGGGATGGAAAGGGAGGGGAGGGATAAATCAAGAAGAGCCAAGTGAGGAAATCAGATCAATTGGTGGTCCAGTAATCCTGCAAGCAAAACTTGGCAAATGTATGTACTTGACTACAACACCGTCTGCTGAGAAAAAAGGAGGGGGCAAACATTTTCCCAATCACCTACTCCAGCACCAGCTCTGTTTCCACCTCCTTCTCTCTGCCAACCCTGCTTGGTTCAGGAACCTCAGACAGTGTTGAAATGTGTCTGCCAAGCAGTTGTTCTACCTGAGAGCTATGAACCAATTTTGGCATCCCATACTCCCAGAAATTTTTTCTTCTTTCTGTGGAACAGCTTTCCTATTTTCCTCAAGTTTCATTTGTTGTATGTGTATATGTTTTTTTTTTAAAATAGATTCCTGTAATTGTAGCTTTGGAAAGGGCTTTGGAGGTCACAGAGGGAGATTCCCTCAGTTTCTAGATGAAGAAGCAGCTTTCATCCTAATGTAAACAAAAGTGGTTCCTTCCTAAAAAGCCCCAATTATCTAATTTTCTTTTTTTTCCAAAAAATCTCAAATGGCTCTTTACAACCTCCCAGTGAGAAAAAATATTATGCAGTCTGAATTTTTCAGATAAGGAGACTGAAGCTTAAAGACAAGAAATAATTCACTAGATGAAGATGTGGGTAGAATCCACTTTTCTGAACAGAAAGGGGAAAGGGAAAGGGACAAACATTTATTACATCCCTACTACGTGTCAAGGACTGTGATAAGCACCTTGGCTTCTTCATTCCTGGAAGTGCCATTCAGTAGCCTGGTATAAGATATCTACAACTCCTTTTAAGCCATCCTCCAGTGCCCCAGGTTTTACCTCTGACTGCCCTGGCACTCCTGCCCTGGACATCTTTCCTCCTCCCCCTTTTCACCAAGAGCTGTAGGAACAAACAATTAACAAACTTAACAACCATTCCTGAAAAGTATATGCTAATAATTGTCATAAGACTCCACTCACCATCCTTTTGAAGTCTCTGACCATACACACTTACCTAGCCACCACTCCCCCTCCTACCTTGCTTTTATATTTGTATCCACAGCATTTAATACAGTGCCTAGAACATAATAAATACTTAATAATGTCTTTTCATTCATTCATTCATTCATTCATTCATTCATTCATTCATTCATTC